GCTCAAAAGTGATTTCCTTGAAGTATGGAATTAAATCCAGCACATGCTCTCAGTAAGGAATGAGATTCAGATGATTTGTGCCCCATTCTCCCTTAACTTGAATGATTACTAGGGATGAGTACCCATATATGTTCAAAAACTTAATTCTTATATCTATAGAAGCTTTGATACCCATGATGCACGCTTCGTATTTAGCCATGTTGTTGGTGCACTCAAACCAATGTCTGGCGATGAAGGGCGTATGGAAACGCTTGGAGGAGATGATCACAACACCAATTTTATTATGAAGTGTGTTGGAAGCTCCATCAAAAACCATAGTCCATTAGGATCCTGGCTCAGGTCCTTCATACAGTACAGGTTCTTCATAATCTATAACTAGCATGATATTCTCGTTCGGGAACTCAAAATTCATAGACTGATAGTCTTCTACAACTTGATGAGCCAAATGATCCTCCAGTACACTTCCTTTGATTTCTTTCTGAGAGGTGTACTAAATGTCATATTCTGTTAATACCATTTCCTATCTAGCTATCCTTCTGGAGAGAGCGGGATTCTCGAATATGTATTTGATGGGATCCATTTTAGATATTAATAAGGTAGTATTGGTCAGCATATACTGTCTTAGTCGGCGAGCATCATATGCCAAACTGCAGCAAGTTCTCTCGAGCAGTGAGTATCTTTTTTCACAGTCGGTAAACCTTTTGCTAAGGTAGTATTGCATGCGCTTTTCAACCAGACTCGTCATGTTGGCCCAGTACACACCCCCATTGAAATCTCAGACAAAGTTTGGTACATAATTAAAGGTCTTCCCTCAACTGGTGGCATCAGAATCATAGTTTCTTGTAGGTACTCCTTGATTTTGTCAAAGGCTGTCTGGAAATTTTCATTCCACTTTACCACTTGATCTTTCTTTAATAACTTAAAGATCGGTTCACAAGTAGCGGTCAGATGGGAAATAAATTTGGCAATATAGTTTAGTCGTCCTAAGAAACCTCTTACTTCCTTCTTAGTACGGGGAGCAGGCATTTCTTGAATATCTTTGAATTTGGCGGGATTAACTTCAATACCTTTACCACTGATCACGGAACCCAGGAGCTTACCGGATCTCACCTCGAAAGTGCACTTTTTCGGATTCAACCTCAACTTGTATTTCTTCAGTCTCTCAAAAAACTTGTGTAGATGATCAAGATGTTATTCTCCAGTCTGAGATCTGGCTACCATGTCGTCGATGTAGACCTCTATCTCATGATGAATCATGTCATGGAACAGCGCTACCATGGCATGCTGATATGTAGCATCGATGTTCTTCAACCCAAAAGGCATAACCTTATAAAAGAAGGTGCCCCACTGTGTGACAAAGGTAGTTTTATCCATGTCTTTAGGTGCCATCTTGATCTTATTATAACCTGAGAAACCGTCCATGAAGGAGAATACCTTGTGTTGAGTAGTGTTGTTGACCAGAACATCAATATATGGAAATGAAAAGTCATCTTTGGGGCTTGCCCTATTCAGATCCATGTAGTCCACACATACAAGCACTTTATCGTCTTTCTTTGGTACTGGAACCACATTTGCATCCCACTGAGGATATGATGTAACGGCTAAAACCCTGCATTGAATCACCTTATAATCCCATCCTTGATTTTCTCTGACATCTCGAGATGCATGCAATGAACTTTGTTCTTCATTCGAAAACAACCCTCTTTCATCGGCAGACAGTGAACCACAATATCAGTATCAAGCCTTGGCATGTCCTCGTATGACCAAGAAAAGATCTCAACATATTCATGCAACATTTGTATTAACATGTTCTTGATACCGTCTTCTAGGTTGGCACTTATCTTGACTTCTTTCCTGTCTACTTTAGTACCCAAATTTACAACCTCAATTGGATCTTCATGCGGTTGTATAGCCTTTTCCTCTTGCACTAACAGTCTGGAAGGCTCTCCAGGTATTTCAAAATCTTCCTCACCTTCATCCTCGGCTTGGTAGATCGGACTTTCAAAGTCATAAGTGGCAATAGCATAATCATTGTCAACGAGATCCAGAGTGGATGTGGATCTACAATTTATTGTGTGGGTGTGGGTGTTGCACCCCAAAATTTACCCTCTTGATTTAGGCTTATATTTCATCATGAATATCATATTGCATTGCATTCATACATTGTGATGGGATCAAAATACTTTGGTTATCAAGTCTTCCTCAAGCTTTGAAGGTTGATTGCATTGACAAGTTGCTCAAGTAGAATCTTATCATCAAAGCCTATGGATCTTTCAAGCTCAAAATTTTTTGCATATCTCAAGATATTTTGTCCATCTCTTTGGATCATCAGAGGATTGAAGTTTGAGATTGATTATAAGAGGAATCACTCTTTTGATTCACTAGTCAAATTAGGGTTTTGCTTGATCAAGACTATTTATCAATGTACAAATTTTTATTTGAAAGCTACAACATCTCATTGGTATTTGAAAAGTCTTTGTACAAGAAATTGGTCAAGATGCCCAGAGGATTTGAAGTTTTGAAGATGATTCATCAGTCTCCTAAGGTGTTAACCAAAATTAGGGTTTGGGATTTCATCGAGATTTCTTGAGAATTCTGAAGTGAAACTTTTTACATGGCCTCTATATATTTGGAAGATCATATGTTTGAACTTTTGATCATCAATTTTGAAGGGAAGTGGATCAATTGATTCAAAGGGGCAAAATGGTCATTTTGGTCAAAATCTGTCAAAGTCAAGGTTGACCAAGTGAACTTTTGGTAAACCATCAATTCAAGGGTGTACTTTTCATATTTCAAGTCCATTTTGATCATTGGATCAAAAAGATTGAGGTTTGGGTTGAAACTTGTTCATAAAGAAACCCTAAAAGTTTCTAATTTTGGAAAATGAGGACTTAACTTCAAAAATTCATATTTTATTCTCCTTTGATCAAAAAAATGCAAATGAAGTATGCTTGGAAATCTGAGAGGGAGCTCTTTAATATGATTCTATTTTTGAGAACAAAGCATGAAGTGGTGGTAAGTTATAAAGCTTGGAAGTCACAAAATTATAGGTTATTTTCCAAAATTAATGAATTTCATGTCACATTTTGAGGACCTTAATGGATTCAATTGCAAAAACTCAAAACTAAGGGATTGTAGATCTTTTCAATACCTTTCCAAATTGTACTCATTTGTGTCCAAATTCAAAAGTATCAGCAAGTTATGAGCTTTGGAATTTTGAGGCATTTTATTGAAATTTGACAAGTTTGCAAAATGGCCAATTCTTGAGAACTCAAGTTTTAGCCTTTATTTTTGTTTTAAACAAGCCTATGAACAATTTGTGACATGTTGAGGCCCATTACACTCACAATTTCGTGCCTCATATGGTATTGCACTTGTTTGATTGAAAAAATCACAAACTTGCCCGATTTTGCAAATTCATCAACACTCTCTCATTTCAAACAATCATGAGCTGGCATTTTGAGCATGTATTTCTGACCTCATTTTGCTCACAAAACGCACAAAAGGCAAGCAAATGCACGTGTGAAACGCAGGCCCCATGTGAAACCTCATTTTCTGCACAAACTTCCAATCTTGCCCTCCAACGGCTTTGAGTGTCAAATACCACTTCTATCCTCTTCCTCACGTGCTATATAACAAGAATCAAGGCTCAGTTGTGAAAGAAGAGGGTCATAATCGCTACATTCCAAATCTGAAAATTTTCAAGTATCTCTGCAAATTGGTTCGAATCTCTCTTCTCCTTGGATCATTCTTCAAAATTGTTGGTGGTTCAGCTTCAGTGAAGTAAGGAGATCAAGCTTGTACCATTGGATTGCTTCTGGAGTGAAGAAATTGAGTTTCCAGTTTTCACATCCATGTGAGTTTTCTTGAACTTTGATTTATGTGTTTTAGTTTGAATTGATGATGTAGATCATGTCACTAGTGCAGAAATGACTTTTTACATCGGGTGAAACTGACTTTTTACATCGGTTCTGGGTCCGATGTAAAGTCAGGCGATATAGTAAATCATGTACTTTTTACATCGGTTATGGGATTGATGTAAAAAGTCCCTTTTTTTACATCGGTTATAATATAAGAATGATGTAAGAAACAGTTATGACAATATTTTAAAAAAATTGATCCAATTTTTTACATCGGTTGGAAGTAATAACCGATGTAAAAAGTCATTTTTTTACATCGGTTATAATATAAGAATGATGTAAGAAACAGTTATGAAAATATTTTTAAAAAATTGATCCAATTTTTTACATCGGTGTGAAGTAATAACCGATGTAAAAAGTCCCTAGTGATGCTACTTTTTACATCGGTTATTACTCCCAACCGATGTAAAAAGTCCCTTTTTGAAAGTTTTTACATCTATTTTGAGTAATAACCGATGTAAAATGTATGAAATTTTTTGGGAATAGATTATTTATTTTCTAGATGTTTCCCTGTACAAAAATAATTTGTACCCATTTTTTCATATTTTTCCAATATCACACAAAATATATTTATGTCGCTATATAGATTTCATAGCTTTCCAACATCACATAGACCACATCTAGGTCGATGTTATCATATTTTTCACAACAAACTTACAAATTGAACAATTGTATTGCAAACTTGTATTGTATTACAACAAACAAACTCACAACAAACTTACAATTACAAATTCTTCACAAAATATACAAAAATATTCAACTATTTATAAGTCTTTTTCAAAACTTACAATTACATATTATTCACAAAATATACAAAAATATTCAACTATTTCTAAGTTTCCAAACTTGAATTACCAATATAAAATCTTCGGTAGACAACACCAAAATCACATTGCCTGACAATAAATAATAACAATTAACATCAGCAAAAAAAATCAAGAAACTCAATACATGTGCAAAAACCACATGTATTGTGCAAAAACCACAACTTAGACAATTCTATAAAACTCACCAAGATAAACTTAATTTTCATGTAACTCAAAGAAACATTTTGCCCAACGGAGTCGCAAATCATACAAATCATTTGTACAACCAATCCACCTGTAATTAATATTATAACATCAAATCAACTATAGTGAAATCTCTTCAATCATGTTATAGCTTCCCACAAATGTAATGAAAATTTGGAAAATAATACCTTCATGTTATAGGTTAATTGAAACTCTATTTAGCCACAATTTAATAATATTTAATAGTAAAAAATTGAGACCATGTGTTATAGTCCATCTTACACGACCCCAAGCCTCAAAGACGACCTATGTCACAAACAAGTTCATGAGAAGGAAACTAACCTTAAGAACAAAGGGAGCAAATGAGTAAAAGATGAAGCTTGACACACCATAGCTAGCAAAGGCAAGTACCTGTTAAGGAATTTTTATATATAGTATAAACATTCAATTATATACAAATATGAAATTTCAGTGTTTTGTACTATACTTAAAATGATATGAGAATTGACCACTTACAATATCTGCATACCATTTGATTGATTCCAGAGTCTTCAATTCTAAAATAGATCTGTCAAATAATGGAGTAATGGAAGAAACTAAACCAAATTTAAATTTTTAGTATTAGGTTTCCTAATTCTGACCGAATTAGAATAATAAGAAGGATACACTTCAACCGCGATAACTAGGAATCCATAAACACCAAGCATTGCAACTACTTCAACATGATTTTTTTTTCTTAACACAAAATTCCTGCATTTTATAACACCATATTATATCGAGTTAGATTATTCATTATTCCGCAACATAAATGATTTTCATTATTACTCGCATGCAGACAGACAGACAGGCAAACACATACCTCACCAACATTGCTTATTGCATAGAAAACTGTCCCTACAATAACAAGTTCATCACCCAAGATAATTTTTGATCCACCTGAAAATTTTAACTTTGGAATCAAGTTATTTGATTGATTAAAATTTTCTCTCAAAATAGGTTGAATAAATGAATGTGACTAACCTCCATCACCATCATTCCAAGTGTCAGAAAGTAAGACTAAAGAGAGACCAAGCACACACAATGTTCCACCAAATAACTGCCATAGTGAATATCTTGTGCCAAGGAAGATCCATGTCAGTAGAATCACCCAAGGCACTGTCCAAGAATCTAGTAATGTTACACTTGTAATTGTACTGTACTGATATGCTTTGATAACTGCATACAAATTCATCAACCATACTAATTGATATGTTATCTTCATATATTCTTTTAATGTACAATACATTTTAAAATATAGGTAAATAACTGAATATTCACTATTAGAATAAATAACGGTCCAAATCATTGAAAATGTGATATGTATGATCACAAAGATATTATCATGTGATATGATGATCGGATTGACTAATTTTATATTCTACAAAAAGTTATCAAGTGGTCCAAGTGTAATAGTTTTTCATCGAGTGCCACTTGATGTTAGTCCTGATTCAGTAATGGGCCTAGTTCTGGACCTTTTCGACCTGTTGTTAGAGGTTTCACACACACAACCAATGTACTGCTTATGCGATATAGTCATAGTGGATGTCAGGTTTTCCATTCCACCATGAACTATCATCTGTTATTCATATTCATTGGATCCTAAGGAATTAAAAAAAATTCAAATGGCTAGTAGAAGAATGAATGAAAAACCTGAAGTTATGGCCCCAAGAAGAGATGCAATGTGCTTGAAATTTTTGCATACGCGAACTATTAAGGATGGTCATGAAAATCCAACAGAAACAAAAAAACTTGAAATAGTCTTTCCATCTAGACCTCGTCAATTGCAATGAGACTTAGCAACCCTCTGGAATAAATATTTTTCAGCTTTGACATAAACCTTGGGGTTGCTATCAACTCTGGAGTCACATATAGCAGCCTTGTAGACGGTTTTCCATAATCAAGGTCCTCGTGAATCTTAAAATATAAAACAGAAAAATCAGTTTCCTAAATTAATAACACCGAACAAGTGAGAATTGACTACACATTCACATAAGTGAATTTGAACTGGATACTTCCTCTACTCCCAAACAAACAAGGGATAAACTTTATAAATTTAGGTCAGCAGCACAATAATGAGGTTCAGGCAAGATATCCAGGAATTCTAGCAGTTTTGTTGAGAAGCATGAATTTATGAGATACATAATCGTTTTAAATAATCAAAAGTCCAAACTTACTCCAATATAAATCCCAGGAACTAAGCAAAGAGTAGATTATAGACTGATTATTAGTAACTACACTTCTATTTCATATGCAGATATGTTATTTACAATACAGTATCAGCAGTATTCCAATAACCAACCTTATTTTTTGCATCAGCCGTTTTTGTTGATGAAAGAAACTCTGCAGCAATTCCTTTCTCCGTTAGCACCATTACTTGGTTTTCCTAACTTGTAGGGAAAAAGAACCATAAGAACCAAAAAAAACTCTTAACCCAGAAATTCAACTGGATATCTGAAAAAAACAATAAACCAATAAACTGGAAAAAAAGAATACCATTAAGGCTGCCAGCACTCAGCTGAACAAAAGTCAAAAATCAGAACCAGTATCCTCGCATGCAAACCGAGTGAGCCATCAATCAAACATCATTGATCTCAATCAAAGATACAAGCTCTAGAAATAAGAGAAAAAAATCCACCTATTAAAGGACAAACTACAAGCACGATTCCTGTTTTTGCCAATGCAGGAATTTGATAACACATTGACTTGCCACCTCCAGTTGGCATAAGACAAAAACAATCTCTTCCTGTGACCAAATAAAAATCACAAAAAAGTGACAAAATCAAACTTCAAAAACCATAGTTCAAGAAAATAGTCATATATCTCTTCTTAATGCGAAGAAAACCAGTTAATATCATTTATTCACACTTAACTAACATGCTCAACAAGTTCAAGGTACCAACTACTACTAAATATACAACAACAACAAACAAGTCTTATCCCACTAAATAGAGTCGGTTGGATCACACTGGATCAAATTACGCCATAATATTTTATCTAAGACCATGCTTCTATTCAAATTGTTAATCTCGAGATCTTTCTTAATAACTACGCTTATAGTCTTTCTAGGTCTTACTCTTAGTCAGTTGTTTGACTTCTTTTGATATATTCTCTTTGCCATAGAACAGGTCTTCTCTTTACATGTTCAAACCACCTAAGTCTATTTTCCACCATCTTTAATATTTTTATTTCTATAGTGAATATATTGTGCCAAGGAAGATCCATGTTAGTAGAATCACCCAAGGCACTGTCCAACAATCTAGTAATGTTACACTTGTAATTGTACTGTACTGATATGCTTTGATAACTGCATACAAAATCATCAACCAGAATTCAACTTAAAGTCTGATACCAGTGTTGTAGGACGCCTTGCACACCATCAAAGATGGCCCTAGTAATAGCAATACATAAGCACTTATAACTTATATGGTAAGCATGTATGATATAAGCGGTTAACTTTTTTTATCCAAACAGGACCTAAAGCACATACCTTCACCTCCGGCGACCAATGATCAACAGCAGTCAGTGCACAAGGAATCACCCATCCACATAATTTTCCCAAATGAGGATAATCAATCTATGACAACACAATTCAAATCCCAACATCATCAATATCTTAGAATACACATAACACGGGATAAAAACCATCAAACACTAGTACCTGAGTAACAAACCATCTAAGTTGATGAGCAGTAAGAATCGCAAACCGAACGGGAAATATAGAAGATGCGGCAGAGAACTCATCACTCTCCTCAGACTTATCAATTGCACTCTCCTTAATTCCATCTTTCAGAAAAGGAAGTACTTCAGGCAACAATTCCAGAAGCAACCTCTTTTGTACAGGAACCAAATTACAATCCAAACCGAACTCTTCCACCTTCTGAGAGTTCCTATCATCGAAGACTGTGAGGTACGCTTGGGAGAGCTCAAAAAAGGAAGCAATTGCAAGGGAGGAAAGGTGATCGGGGATCCATGAGAGAAACTCTGAATTGGCGTGTGTGGAAGAGGATAACAAAGCACATGCTAGAGCGAAGTCTTTGATGGAAGCGTTGATGGTGGAATTTGTGGAAGTGAGAAGGGGTTCGAGAAAGGCTTTGACGGAGATGTTGGAGGTTTTGTGAGAATTGTATGGAGTTGCGGCGAGAGAGTTTACGATTGAATTCGATAACCTAATCAGGTGGAATCAAATGGAAAATTCACTGTGAGGAACGAAGGTTGAGTTAGAGAGAAATAGAGATGGAGAGAGGTGTCTTACCGGAGGAGAGTGTCTCGGAGAGTTGAGATTGATGATTCTGACATTGGCTACTGATTAGGGTTGCGCTTCCAACACCGGCGGGAATTTTCCAACAACAATGACACTGTAACTGGTTTTGCCGAGTTGGCACTGGGAGCGATTTTAGAAAGAAACACTACTATTTCATGAATTTAATAATATGAATAATTTATATTTTTAGATAATAATTAAGTTAATATTGTTATTTCAAATATTACACATAAGAGATACAATATTTTTTACATCGGTGGAAAAAGGCCTGATGCAAGCGTGTTACACCTTTTTACATCGGTGGAAACAAAGGACCGATGTAATGGTTTGGTACTTTGCAGTTTTTACATCGGTGGAAACACAGGACCGATGCAAGCGTGTTTTTATGATGTTTTTTACATCGGTTGGTAGGTGGCTCGATACAAGCGTGTTTTTATGGGTTTTTTACATCGGTTTAAAATATGCTCTGATGTAATTTTTTTAATATATTTTATATATTAACAATCTGCCTGTGACCCTTTTACATCGGTTTTTAGTTAACCCGATGTAATATCTTGCTTGTTTTTTATTTACATTTTTGCCACCTTGTTTCTTATTTACAAAAATGCCACCGTATTTTTTTCTGAAAACCTTTTACATCGGTGGATGAGATTGCCCGATGTAATAGGTAGCGAAAAATATTTTTTTTCTTATTTTTTATATCATTGCAAATAAATACCTGATGTAAAATGTTTTTAATGGTATTTTTTACATCATATATTTTGATACCTGATGTAAAAACCTTTTCTCAAATGTCTTTTTTTAGTAGTGTGTCCATTGAGTTGCTAGCTGGCCAATCACTAGGATTGATGTATATTTGAGCTTTGATTCAAGCAGAATGGATGAAATCGTGTTCCTGGTTTTTTATGTTTACAGTGAGTTTTTTCAGTTTTGTAGACTTGATTTCTTGATCCATGTTTGATCTCTGAGATTGATTCAAATTGCATAGTATAGTATGATATGTTAGCTTTGGTTTGCGCTTAATTTGATGAATTTTGGTTGAGAGTTGAGATAGAACGAAGGATCAGAACATGAGGTGTTGAATTTGTTTCTGCACGCGTTTTTCCCTTTGTCTTGAGGTTGAAGACGATGAGGCGGCGCGCCCTGATTGGATGATTTAAATTTTTAATGCATTTTATATTATTTGTTTTCAATTGATTTTTCTAATTTTATTTTTGTGATCAAAACATCTTCAAAAATCATGAAATAATTACCATAGGCTAATAATAATTTCTAGTATTTGTCATATTTTTTTGGAATTTTTTTAAAATGTTTTGATAGGTTTAAAATTTAATAAGTTTAATTAATTATTTTTTCAATGATTATTTTTATTTTAATAGGTCTTTTGATCTAAAAATTCCACAAAAATTATCTTTGACTCATAAAATAATTTAGAAATTGATTCTGATTTTAGTTTAGCATTTTTTCTATTTCTAATTAGAAATTTAATTTGAGAAGTCTATTTGAGGCTTTTTTTCATAATTTTTGTTTTAATATTTCCTTTAATTCAAAAATCTTCAAAAAAATCATATAAGTTTGTTTTTAATCATGGTGTCTGAATATAATTTTGTTTTGACCTTTTTATGACTTTTGGCTAGGGTTTTCATTTTTGTCTTTAAATAATATTTTAAATTGTTTAATTGTTTGTTTGATTTTATTTTTAATATTTCCTTTAATTAAAAAATTCAACAAAAAATCATGGATGCTGGATTTTAATTCTAATATTAGAATATAATTTTGGTTGGATAATTTTATGAGTTTTGATTGGAATTTCATTTTGAAAATGTGAATATTTGTTTAATTGTTTAATAGTTTGAATTTCAATTTATTTTTGACCTTTCTTTAATTCTAAAAATGTGAAAAAATATGTATTCTGATATTTAGGGTTTCCTTGTGATTTACATGATCTTGGTTTGAATTGTTTGAATTTTGATCTTACCTAATTAATATTTAACATTAAAATTCAAACAATTAGGGTTTTGTAGATTACATTGCAAGTTTCAATTTCAAAAGCAATTTGCCTTGGGTTTCCATTGGAATTTGGATCTTGTTTAAGGTTCATGGATGTATTTAGGATCTGACAACCATTTTTCTTGAAATATTTGACTTGATTGGATATTTTTCCACAAATTATTTTGAAAGCTTGTCTAGTTTGGTAGTTTTGCCAACTAGTTTTGATCTTTGGGCCTCATTAGACCCTCTCCTCTACTATCCATGAACTTAAAACTTGTTTTCTGATCTATATACATCTAAAGGATGCTAAGAGAA